TTTTAAGATTTTATTTATTTATTTGTCAGAGAGAGAGAGAGAGTGAGAGTGAGCACAGGCAGATAGAGTGGCAGGCAGAGGCAGAGGGAGAAGCAGGCTCACCGCCAAGCAAGGAGCCCGACGTGGGACTCGATCCCAGGACCCCAGGATCATGACCTGAGCCGAAGGCAGCCGCTTAACCAACTGAGCCACCCAGGCGTCCCTGTTTCCCCACTTCTACAGACAAGATGGACTTGACAGTGCTAGCCCGATGTCTGAAACGGTGTCCTCTGCCCCGTGGCCTGTGCACACAGGCAGACTGCCAGTCCTCTGTCCTGTCACCCCCTTGCACCCATCCTTCCTCTCTGCTATCAGAAAAGCGGGGAACTAAGCTTAAACTTTGCCCTCCATACTGATCACTGCACCTAACCACACTATAAATAATTAAACACATGGCTCTGTCTCATCCAGTTTCCTAATCAGTGATGTTGAATTTTTTTTTTCCAATTAAAAACAAAATTCCAGATAGCTAATATTTAGTACTGGTCCTGACGTTGTCTCGGGGTTCTTATCAAAAGCATGACTCTCTGGGGTCATTGGAGGCCAATGGCTGGCCACTTAGCCTTGACTTGCCTCTGAGACTACCCTGATGAGGCCTGGGCAGTCCTGTCACATGGGCGAGGACTTGTGTAATCATCCAACAGGGACTGGGGCCCACTCAGTGCCCCTTAGGGCCTCCTAAGAAAAAATCTATGAGCCAAGGACAAGGAGAGCTTTGTATCTCCTGGCCAGCTTTCTCCTCATGTACTGAAAAATGAAGACTCTATAATCAATCACTTCTCTCTTTACTTGGCCACCAGGAAACTCAATCAAATATTAGTTCAGTTATAATGAATACATGCGACCTTAAGACCGCTTTGTTTTCCATCTTTCCCTTTTGTTCTGTGCCTCCCAGAATGGCATGATTTTTTTTTATTAAAAAAAAATTTACTATACGTATAGGCTTCTTCAAACCCATTGCACAATGAGGTGAGGGTCTAACTAACGAAATACACCGTCAGCAAGTTAAGATGCCCTCGGTTTCTCTCCATTAGCAAGTCCTGTCAGTTTCATCTTTCACCTTCTCCTCGGCCCTCACACTAACCCGGGCTCCCATTATCTCTCACGTGCATTTCTCCGGCACCCCCTGACTGGATCCTCCCCACTTCCATTCCCATCCTCAGGCCTTTCCCCATATAGCGATCTTCAGGTGTAAATCTGACCACATTTCATTATATCTCTCTACCGTAGGAGTCAGGGGTCTGGCCTGCAAGTCACAGAAATGTACTCTGCTTTCCTAGTCTCACACACACACAGACACACACACACACAGACACACACACACACAGACACACACACACACACACACACACAAGAACATATTAAGAATGTGTTACAAGACCCCCAGAATCAACCACACCTGGAGCGCTGGGCCTGGACTTTTAGCATCAAAAGTCAGGCCTGGATGCTGCTGTCACTCTGGTTGCCTTGGGAACCGACACGCCTGACCCCAGGACTCCCCCAGTCCAGACAGGAGCACTGCCACTGGGCCACAGACCAGTTCTGCTGTCTCAATGACTTCAGGACCAAAGATCTCTGTGGGATGGTCCAATCAACCCAGCTGGGCCACTGCTTACTTATGCCTTGGCTGCCCGGGACAGAGAACAGACCTGGCCCCTCTGTCCTCCATAGAGGCATACGCTCCTATTAATAGCATACAAAATAGGGAATTCCACCTAGGAAGGACGGTTAGGAACCAGGCAGCCAAAAATGCAACAAATATCTACCATCCTTGCTTTATATCTCCACGATGTCCCACGGTACCCAGAATAAAATCCAGATTTCTCACCAAGGCATAGGAGACCCTGCCCCCCACCACCCCTGCTCATACCTGTCTTTCCAGTCTTGCCTCTTGTGATCTTCCCTCCCCCACCTCCCACCCGCTCCCAGGCCTGGCTCTGGTCATAGTGGCCTTGCAGATCCTTGAACTCACCAAGCTCTGTCCTGCCTCAGGGTCTTTGTATAGGATGGAGTCCTTTTGCCTGGAATGCCCTCCTCCTACCTTTGCCCATGGCTGGCTCTTTCCTGTCCTTCATTTCTCGGGTTAAATGGCATGTCCTCAGAGGCCTTTTCTGACCCACCTGTCTAAAGTAGGTCACTCCTTTATGGACTCTTTCGAAACACTTATCACAAGTTGGCATTACCACATTTATGTGTTGACTTGTTTTTTTGCCACTGAATAGACCTCAAATTGCATGCAGGCAGGGGCACCTGGGTGGCTCAGTAGGTTAAGTGTCCGCCTTTGGCTTAGGTCATGATCCCAGGGTCCTGGGATCGAGCCCTGCGTCAGGTTCCCTGCTCAGAGGAGAACCTAGTTCTCCCTCTCCCTCTGCCTACCTGTGCTCTCTCTGTCAAATACATAAATAAATCTTAAAAAAAAAAAGAAAAGAAAAGAAAAGAAATTGCATGCAGGCAGAGCCAGGCTGGCCTTGTTCTCTGCTGAACCACTCCCCAGCGTGTGGGGAGAGGGCTCTGCCCTGCAGGGCAACAAGTAGCCTGGGCGACACAACTCTCTTATGGGCCACGTCACAGTGCACGACCTGCTGTGCTCTAACAGATGTGAGGTGAGGCCTCCACCATGTCCGCTCTGGCCACAGGGACCCCCCGGGTGCTGGCAGCTCCCAAGAAGGTGGGGTAGTTGCGGAAGACACCCCGCCCAGGGTGGTTTCATGGGTGTGGGACCAGTGAATCACACAGGGGAAGGCCCTGTGCTTGGGGTTTAATGCTCTACATTAGCCATCTTGAAATCCTTAATCATTTTGTCTTGGAATTTACATTTTTTAAGGGAAGCCTCATGGGACAATGGAACCTGTTAAGGGACTTGGAGCCTTGGTCTTGCGGGATCCGGCCTCCCACAGCCTTCTTGCTCCCTGGGACATGTCCTCCACGGCCTGCTCTTCCACCCTCAGAGGCAGGGCTGGTCCCGCCTCCTTCCCGCTCCTTCCCAGTGACTGCCACCGCCTTCTCACCCCAGAGAGGACCTGGACACAGGCAAAGGAGAGGCTGGAGTGGTCGGGTGTGTGCCTCCGGCAGCCTTTCATGGCAGGGCATGGAAATGGCCATCTCCATCCTGGGCTAATGGTGCCATGGGGCAGTGTGTCAGGTGACTGAGGGAAAGTGGTGGGAGAAGCCTCTTGCCCCCCGCCCAGCAAGGAGCCTAAGCATTCCTGAATGGCAGCTGTGATACCCTGTGGGTGGTGGGCACGTCGGGAGGGTAAATGTCTAGTTCTGTTTCTCATGATACGCTGACTGGGGCATTGTGCATTGGCCTGCTGGCTGGAGGGAGAGGAAAGCTGGTAGTCGGTGACCGTAGTCACACAGGCACTTATGTACTTTTAGGCTTCCTGGCTGACTATGAAGGACTGCATTTGCCCTATGACTATCCCTATGTCTGTGAGAGTCTGACATTAAATGGTACCTAGAAAATACCATGCCAGTGCAAGAGAGAGGCCACAGAAGCAAATCTTCTTATTTTCATATATTTAACGGCAATTCCCCCCACCCGCTCCACTTTTGAACATTTTCAGTTTGCACCGAGCCAGCAAATCATGTAGCCAGTCTTGGGCCTACCCCTCATTCCCCTTTGTGGCATCCACTTCGCTGCCTGTCCCACTTCCTAACTCAGAGACAAGATAGCTGATAACAACAGCCTACATTTATTGAGTACCTGCTATGGGCCAAGCACCACTTTAAGGCCTTATCTGTACTCCCTTATCCGTACTACCTATAATCCTTATAACAATCCTATAAGGTAAGTATTATTATTATGTCCATTTTTGAATGAGGAAACAGGGGCTTTGAATGAGGAGAACTCTGAATTGAGCGTCTAGAAGCCAGAGTACTAATTTTAATTCCACACTTGACCTGCTGTGTGACCTGAAGCAAGTCTGTAAACAAGGAGAAAAATGGCGTACCTTGCAGTATTCTAATCTCATCACCTGAGAAGACAGATCTGTGCCTACCTTATAAACTGCCTGGGAGGGACCCTCACTATTTGAATTACCACCTAGTAGCTGCAGGTGGTCCACTGAGACCCCCTGATAAAATCCCCTCCTTGTGGAGAGGAGTAAACTGGCTCCAGCCTCTGCTAAGTCAGGCTCTGTAGGCGTCTGTCCCCTCACTGTGGCCTGGCTCCGTCTTCGAGGGAAAAGGAAAGTACCAGAAGTGAGAGAGCATCCAGAGTGAAGACGGTAATGACGAACCAAGGCTCTGTGTAGAGGACTGGTTGTTGATGATTCCATTCCTGTTTTCAGGCAACAGGCCACTGGTGCTAAATTTTGGAAGTTGTACCTGACCTTCATTTCTTTTCAAACTTGACCAGTTCAAGAGACTGATTGAAGACTTTTGCTCCATGGCAGACTTCCTCATCATCTACATCGAGGAAGCGCACGCATCAGGTACTGAGAGACTCCTTGCCTCTGCCTCTGCCTACCTTCTCTTCCCTGCCTCACTTCCCCAGGCCCAGGCTCAAGGTTGGGGAGTGGGGAGGAAGAGGAATGAGGGCAAGAGCCACTCCTCACGGAGTACCTGCTTCTTTCAGTCCCTGCTGCCTTTACCCACCACTTGGTAACTTCACAGTCTGTGCTTTCCACCGGCACACAGAGCAGAAAACCTGGAGGTGGCTCGGTTGGTGGGCTTCCTCTCGGGTCATGATCTTGGGGTCCAGGGATTGGGCCCGGCGTCCGACTTCCTGCTCACTGAGAAGTCTGCTTCTCTCTCTGCTCTCTCTCTCTCTCTCTTCTTCCCTCTCTCTCTACCTCTCTCCCCCGGCTCCTTCTCTCTCTCTCAAATAAATAAAATTTAAAAAAAAAACAAAAACCTGGAGGGACGGGTCCAGTGGAAATCAAGGAGGAGGAGCTAGTAGGAGGAATTTAGACCTGAAACGTCACAAGGGAAATGCCCACTCCATAGCTACGTGTGCGACCCCTCCTAAGACTCTCCAGACTCAAAGGGACACTATGGTTCCTCTCCGTCGATGGTTCCCAAGCATTAGAGAGCATCAGAAGCACCTGGAAGGCTTGTTAAAACAGACTGCTGGACCCCGCCATCCCAGAGTTCATCAGTGAAATCTGGGATGGGGCCTGAGAATTCACATTTCTGACAAGCTCCGGGTGATGCTGACGCTGCTGGTCTGGGGGCCACACTTGGAGACCCACTGCCCCAAGCTGGCTTTCATCCGGGGCAGGTATTCTTTCTTCACCCCGACAGGTGGTCACACATTTTCATTACTTCACGGGACATCTTATTCCTTTGCTGGAGAGTTCCATTCAGAAGAGTGCTCTCTGAAACTCCTACACCTTGTGGGTTAAGCCCATTGAACTTTACCAAATGGTCCACCGATCCCACAAAGCCTAGGGCCTGGGGCCCAAATCAGGTTCCCACACGCCACCTGTTTCTCCAGGTAAGTTATGGGGAGGCATGAGGCATGGTGGGAAGGACATGAACTTCAGAGTTTCAGACCTGATTATGGGTCCTAGCTCTACCACGTGACCTTGGGGAACTCACCTTCCATGCCCACTTTTGCAACAGTGACATGGGATGACAAGACCAACCTCATAGGGTCACTCATTTGACAATATTTAAGGAGCACTTGTGCTGGTCCTGGGGATATTGAAACAAAAGATAGACATAGTTCTTGCCTCTCAGGAACTCACAGTTAAGGTTGGGGAAGCAAGTCACTGCTCCTCTCCTGCCCTCCATGTCCTCAGATGCAGGATGAGGGGCAGAATCCCAGTTTAGCCTCCCCTAGGAGGTCCTTGTGAAGCTAACAGTTGCACAAGACTGACTGCCTAAACATGACACAAAGGTAAGCTGGCGTTGTTGTCATCTACAAAGTTCCGATGTCTTGGGGCAGGTGGTAGTTACTTTACACTGTGGCCAGGCACTTGTATCTTGATGTGAATTTGTCCCGAGAGCTGGCTTCTCTAGGAGGAAGTTTCCTGAGCGGAGCACGTTGAAGCACCAAGGAGGTGGGGCCATTTCCGCTGATAGACTTTTCCAACTTCCCTTACCTTGGGAAGCAGCTATTACTGTAAACACAGGCCACGTGGCTTCCGAAGGATCCCATGACCACATTAGCTGGGTCCAGGCTCCCCAGAAATGGGGCAAGTGGAAGGGCAAGGCCAGTAGCACTTTATGGTTATTTTTTTCAGCCCATTAACATGAGTACCACTTCCTGTAAGAAGGCAGAAGGGCACCTTGGCAACGAGGCCATTTGAAATCCCCTTCCAATTAACATTAACAAGCAGCCTTAAATGGGTCTGATTTGGGGCCTCTCCAGAGCAAAGTAGCAGAATACCTGTGGCATAGAATAAAAACTGGGTTCTTTCCTACCTGTCTGTTATTTGGGGGAGTCAGGCAAGATAAACCTGTATTTTTTAAGCAGCTTCTGTGAAACAGGCCGAGTACTAGGAATTCTAAACAAGTTACCTCACAGTCATCTGCAACGCTGGTCCTATTAATCCCATAACAGATGGGGAAACAGTTAACAGAGGCTTCAAGAGCTTGCCCCCTAACACATAGCTGCGTGTGTCAGGGAAGGCTTCCTGGAGGAGAGGGGTTTAGAGCTGTGGTTCTGAACGGAGGGTGATTTTTGTCCCCCAGGGTTACATCTGGCAACGCTTTGAGATGTTTTTGGTTGTCAAAAACAAATTGAAGGGAGGGCGGGGTGCTTAGTGAGGCCAAAGACACTGCTCAATGTCCTGTTACACACGGGATGGTGGCCCTGCCACAAACGTCAACAGTAGCAGCGTTGAGGCCCGAGTTAGAGCTGAGGCTTGAAAGGACAGGTAGGATCTCAAATAAGGAAAAGATGGTAAGGAGACAGGGAAGAGGGGGTCAGCCTCATTTGAGGAAGTCGCTTCAGCGAGATGCGGAAGGACCAGCGGCCGTGACTAGAAGAGCAGGTGGGGAGAGATCATCGGCATCGTGACATGTTTGCTAAGGAGCTGGTCCTGTCATTGGTTTTCAAGCAGAGAAAAAAATCTGATTAAAGTTTGTGTTCATAATGTTGTCAGAGATTTTTGGATGATGAGTTAGAGGGTAGCAAGATCAGGAGGTAGGAATACTCCTTAGGGGTTGAAAGGAAGGGTGTTTGTCAGGCTAACAGTTGTCCTTGGCTGTGAGCTCACCCTGAGGGGCAGGTGTCATGAGGCTGTCTGTAGAGCTAATGGCAGCCATAGTGGCCAAAGTCGTAGGAGAGAGAAGCTCCTGTTCTCACACTGTAGGTGGAGACAGCCCCGTGAGGAAGAGGGTGGAAGCGAGAGGCAGCTCGGGGGTGGTGGGTCTAGGAATCCCAGGTGTTTCACCCACCAGTTGAACAGAGGCGGGAGGTGTGCAGGGCAGACAGGCCAGGTCACTGGGGAGCTTGGGATTTCTCCTGCAGATGACAGGGAGCAGGAGAGTGACATGGTCAGATTGGCCCTTTGGAAAGAACATTCTGGTGGAGAATAATTAGAAGAGGGAGATTGTCTAGACTAGTAGTTCGTAGACTTCCGGTGTGTTGTTAGAATCATCTGGAAGCCTGTTAAGACAGATTGGTGGGCCCCATTTCTTGTCAGTCTAGAGTCAGGCCCAAGAATTACCAACAAACCCCCGGTGATGCCAGCACTGCTGGCACCAGCTAGATCCTCAGTGATAACCTGGACAGATAAATCAGAATCTGCCTTTAACCGTTCAAATACACATTCCAGTTCAAGAAGCATGGGACCAGTCGACTCTCCCATGCTGAAGAGCTGAGAGTCAGGAGTCCTGGATTTCCGTGTTGGATTAGTCAGTAACTCCCTATGTGAGCTCGTGCCTTCACTCATAGTAGGAAACTGGGCCCAATCGAGCTAAGGGCTCCTCTATCTGGGGCCCTCAGTTAAAGGTGGTGGGGATGGGAGTTTTTAATGGACAGGAAATAGTGCCCTGCCAGTGAGGCTCACTGCCTATCTCTTCTTTTGCAGATGGCTGGGCTTTTAAGAACAACGTGAACATCAGGACTCACCGGAATCTCCAGGACCGCCTGAGGGCTGCCCGCTTGCTGCTGGACAGGAGCCCCCAGTGCCCTGTGGTGGTGGACACAATGGAGAACCAGAGCAGCCAGTGCTACGCAGCGCTGCCTGAGCGGCTCTACGTGCTCTGGGAGGGCAGGATCCTCTACAAGGTGACCAGGGCTATGGGGCCCAGGATGGGGATGGGCAGAAAGGGCTTTGTAGCAGGCAGACCTGCATTCATGTCACTTCCTGGCCACGTACCAGCCATGTGGCCAGCGCCAAGTCCTCGTCTCTCGTGGAGTTTCAGTTTCCTCTTCTGCAAAAGGGAGGTACCCTCACCTCACAGGAGGTGAAATAATGCACAGGAAAGTCCAGAGCATTTGGGCTGGAGCTGCAGCCTCTTGTTGCCTTCGAACCCAGAAGACTGGCCCAGCCCTAGCTCAGCTTGGAGCTGAACAAGAGAAGGTTGTTTCCATTTCATAAACAATGCTAGAGAAGGACACTGACTTGCCCAAGGTCACACCACACTAGGCTCTGATTCCAATTCTAAGTCCTTTGGATGGGGTGGGCCAGGGGTGGGAGGGTCTGAAGCCACTCATCTCTGAGGCCTGAACCTGGAGGGGGTGGTAGGAGTGGGAGCAGAGCAAACCCTACGGGCAGCAGCTGGAGATGCTGAAGCAGGGATTCGAGGCAGGAGCCGAGTCCCGGCTCACTTTCTGGTGATTGTGCCCCTCTTAGGGCTTCCAGCCTGGCCAGGGTGGGGGACAGAAGCACAGCCTCTGGCCACTTGGGCACCGTTGGCCACCCCTAAGACGGCAGGAACTGTTTCATAGCTGCAGAAAGGATTTCAAACCGTGGCCCCACACGGCTGCTCCTTGCCCACGGGTCAAGCTGACCCTACTGTGGCAGGGAAATGGGCAACAACTTGCAGATGAATTTCCGAGGTGCCAAGGGTCACAGCACAAGGATTCAGGTCCTTCTTCCTTTCTTCTCCCCAGAGACATGGCTCTAAGGTGGCATGGTGGAGCCCAGCAGGGCTAGGCCCCGAGCCAGTACTGGCAACACAGGAATGAATTGCGAATGGCCCACCCCTTACTTTGAGTGCTCCGGTGTCCCCAGTACTAGGAGACTCCAGAGCAGGGATTGGCAAACATTTTCTGCGAAGGGCCTGGTTGTAAATATTTTTGACTTTGTGGGCCAAATCATCTCCGGTCACAATTCAATCCTGCTGCTGTGGCACAAAATCAGTGTAGACGAGACATCAATGAGTGTGAAGCATCAGGACAGACTTGGCTCTCAGATTGGAAATTTCCTGACCCCTGAGGAAGGGTAGGCTCTTTAGAGGTGGGGACAACTGCGTGGGCCTCAAGGCTAGGAAGCCAGCCGCGTGAGCGGGGTGAGTGAAAAGCATGGCAAATACAGGGAAGAAGGTGGGCAAAGGCACGGAGGCAGGTTATGGCAGGGTGTGAATGGAGAATTGTCACCATGTCCCCAGTGGTGACAGGAGTCTCATTCTGGACCAAGGAGTTCAGCGTGCCTCTTAGGACAAAGGAGAGCCACTGACGAGTTTTGAGCAGGAGGGAGGCATGATTGGATCTTATTTTTTTTTTATTTTTTTAAAGATTTATTTATTTAGTAGAGAGAGTGTGTGCATGTGAGTGGAGGGAGGGGCAGAGGGAGAGACGCCCAAGCAGACTCCCTGCTGAGCATGGAGCCCGATGAGGGGCTCCATCCCAGGATCCCGAGATCATGACCTGGGCCAAAATCAAGAGTCAGAAGCTCAACTGACTGAGCACCCCAGGTGCCTCTGGATCTGTATTTTAGAAAGATCACTGGCTCCTGCGTGATGCATGGACTGAAGGGAGCAGGGATTGAGGACTGGGAAAAGTCAGGAGGTGGGATGGCTGTTCAAGTAGGAGACGAAGAGGGCTGAACTAGGGCATTGGGACTGGAGAGGCAGAGGTGGGTCTGATTTAGGACGGGTGGTGCTTGCTGGGAGGCGTAGAGAAGATAAGGCCTGTCTGAAAGTCTAATTATGGAAGATAATTATTTGTACAGACCCCTTTCTCCTCTTGGAACTATTCACTTCACCCCCTCTGGTCTTCCTTGTACTTCTCGGTCCAGTCTGCCCATTAAATATTGGCACCATTCCACACCCTCTCCCTGGGTGACCTCATCCACCTGAGGGTTGTCTCTGCCATTGAGGACACCATCCTGACAAGTCCCACGTAGCCATTACCAGCCCTGTCCTCTCAACACAGCTCCAGACCCACCGATTCCTGCAGGCTGGAAACCCGGGAACACTGATTCATTTCTCTTGCAGGGGAAATCGGGCCCTTGGAACTACCATCCAGAGGAAGTTCGTGCTGTTCTGGAAAAGCTCCACATCAAGTCTGGAAAGATCCCCCAGTGCTAGGTGATCAACAGGAGGGCTCCTCAAGTTCTGGGGTCTCCTCCCAGCCTTGGTGGTTTTCACCTCTGGACTCATGCTGGTCAGACTGGTCTCATCTAACCAAACAATTGTAATCAGAAGACAAAGCAGCAAGTAAGCAGAATGTTAAAATACCATACAACTCAACGCTGTCCCCACGGAGACCACATTCATCGCGTGACATCCCCACGTGAGAGAGGCTCCGCTCCGTGGGCAGCCTACCGAGGCGTGGCATCTCTCTCTAGCCACTCTGACACCAAGTGGTCAGATACGGCGGTCCTTATGTGAGGCAGACTCATTTTCCCCAGTTTACCATTTATGGACTTGATCATCTCAGACACTAAATTGGCTTTTAGAACCAAGCACGGGGAGAGCATGCTGGTTGTTTAGAGAGAGAGAGAGAGAGATGAGGAATTGAAAGCCGTTGTTCTTTTAGGCAGAAGCTCACACTGGAAATGGTTTCTCTGATGTCTTTGCAAGTCTCCTAACGGTCATTTGTGTTCGATTACATCAGACTAATGGATTGCCATTGCTATTCATCTGTTTTAACTCTGCTTCTTTTCATATTTGTCTATGACGGCCACAGCCTAAAGTACACACAGCTGTGACTTGATTTGAAAGAAAATATTTTAAGAGGCAGCAAGCTAATACAGAGTGATTAAACTATCTCAGGCCGTTTGAGATGGCTTCGGTGTGATTCTTACATTTTCTTTTCCAGTTTGTGTCAGCCTGTTTTATCTTGCATTATAGCCCAGTGTAATCTGATCAGCAAAAATACCATATGCTTGGAAGCGCCTCATTTGGTGGGAAGAACATTCCTTCTCCGTGGGTTACATATTAAATGTCCCTTTGTCTTGTGAACTCCTGCTAAAGAATGTTTCACACTGGACTCAAACTACCTTCACAACACGACATAAAAGAATGGACTTGGGAGACATTTTTCTACCAAGAAAACACATTCTCCTTGGCTTGGCCATCGTTGCTACAATGTGAACACTATTAACGCCGCTGTTTTATTCTTTTTTTTTTTTTAAGATTTTATTCATTTATTTGACAGAGAGAGATCACAAGCAGGCAGAGAAGCAGGCGGGGGGGTGGGGAAGCAGGCTCCCCGCCGAGCAGAGAGCCCGATGTGGGGCTCAATCCCAGGACCCCGAGATCATGACCCGAGCCAAAGGCAGAGGCCCAACCCACTGGGCCACCCAGGTGCCCCTATTTTATTCTTTTAAAAAAACTTACATTAATCATCTACCAGGCACCCATGTTCAGATATGTTAAGTCCTCTAGTCTTTGTATATTTCAAAGAGCAGATTGTTACCCCCATTTTAAAGATGGGAAGTCAAGGCTCAGAGTTGAGGAATTTGTGGAAGGGCTTAGATCTAGTAAGTAACAAGCCAAGATTCAAAGCCCATCTCTAACTTCAGCTAGCTGTGGGACTTTGGCTAAGCTGCCTTGGTATCTTGAACTATAAAATGAGTTACTAGTAATGCCTTCTGCCTAGAGGATTTGTAAGTAAAACACTCAGAACTGTGCCTGCCTTGGAGAAAATGCCACGGACAGGCTATTATTATTTTAAGTCGTTCCACAACTGCCTCCTTGGGCCCCCTTTTTAGGCAGTGGGAAATGGTAGGAAGGTAGGACAGTAGGGACAGTGAATCAAAATTCTTCATCCTGGGGGCACCTGTGTGGCTCAGTGGGTTAAAGCCTCTGCCTTCAGCTCGGGTCATGATCCCAGAGTCCTGGGATGGAGCCCTACATCAGGCTGTCTGCTCAGCAGGAAGCCTGCTTCCCTCTCTCTCTCTGCTTGCCTCTCTGCCTACTTGTGATCTCTGTCAAATAAATAAATAAAATATTTAAAAAAAAAATTCTTCATCCTGCCAAAGCAATGCATGCATGAGTTTAGGTGGGTACACGGAGAGCGAGGAGCTGGGCAGTGGGGCTGGAGCCCAGCCGAGCCCTGTCCTTCCTAAGCCCCGTTTCCATAAAAGGAGACAGCGGATAAGCCTGTGCTCCTCTGAATCACTCCTCAGATGGTCCCCCGATTCATGCCTATAAATGCAGAGAAAGCTCCCAGTTTTCAGTGAACAGTAGCTAGAGCTGAGTTTTCAGAATGGTGAAGTAGACCCCAAGCGTTCCAAGTCAATTCTCTTCGGTTTAATGCTTCAGACTGTCATTGGGCACCGATTCCTTACTGGGTACTGAGCAATGTCCAGGAGGACAAGGTCCCACTTAACCTCACGGGGGACTAGGCATCCGTGGCGATGACTGTAATTCAACGCGAGGAAGATGGGGGAGAGCTGAGATGAAGACTCACTGCTCAGGGAGTACAGATGGGAGGGCAATTGTGTGGGGCTGGGTGGGACTGGGAAAGTCTGGAGGAGGTGGTAGCATTTAGGCTGGGGCCAGACCTCCCACAACCTGCGATGGGAACCTGCAGAGCACGGGAAGGGAAAGGGACACTTGTGGGGTAACTCCGCATGGCAGAGGTGGCAAAGAACTGTGCACGGCACTCAGCAGGTTTGGACTCTCATTCTGCTAAACCGGCCACGGATGACTTCATTTCGAGTAAGTTCTGCCATGACATTCAGCAGGTGTGTTAACACATTTTCTAAGGCATGCGTAGATGTCCGCTGAAGAAGGATTCAGGATACCTGTTCTGCCATATAGATGACATCACTGAAAGTCTCAAGTAGTTTTTTCAAGAAGGGAACACGGTGGCACCTGGGTGGTGCAGTGGGTTAAGTATCCAGGCACAGGACGCGATCTCAGGGTCTTGCGTTCGAGCCCTATGTTGGGCTCCACACTCAATGGGGAGTCTGCTTGAGATTCTCTCTCTTCCTCTCCCTCCCCCTGCCCCTCCCCCTCCCCCAGCTCTCTGTCTCTCTCTCATAAATACATTAAAAAAAACAAAACAAAAAAACGGAAGGGCACATGGATGCTATACTCCGGGACATCTGACATGCTTGCCCCTGCCAGCCTGTCATCTGGAGCCCGCAGGATCCCTGGCTGGGATTCAGACTCTTGTATCTCAGCCTCTTTAGCTCAGAGATTCGCAGACATTGCTCCCCTGCGGTCCAGTAGTCATGAGAGGAGGAGAGTGAGGCCAGCCCGAGTGGTTGCTCCCAGCACTTGTTTTGCTTTTGGAGACCTGGAGACCTGTCAGATTCTTTCTTCAAATCTGAGATTCAATAACTTCACCAAGACCTAGTCCCAGTGTTGATTGTTCCTATATCAAAATTTCTGTAATACTGCTATATTCTGAAGATTTGTGTCCCCCCGGATTCATACCCTGAATAGTAAAGCTCAGCATGATAGCGTTAGGGTAGGACTGGGAGGAATGTTCAATGAGGGACCAGTTGGGAATGAGATTAATGCTGTTATAAAAGAGGCCTGAGAGAGCTAGCTTGCCCCCTTCCCCTGGGGGAGGATACAAGCAGTCTGCTGCCCCAGAAGACAGCCCTCACCCGACCTTGGTGACACCCTAATCTCAGCTTTTTGGCTCCAGAACCCTAAGAAATGTTTCTACTGTCTATAGGCCACCCAGTCTGTGGCATTTTTGTTACAGTGGCCTGAACAACTAAGGCAAATACAGTATCCTCTTCTGGTCTAAGATTCAATTCTTCTTCTTCTCTTAAATTTCAGGAACATTCTCTTCAGTTGCCTTGATCATCTTTCCCTTGTATTTCGTCCTACTCTCTAACTCAGGAAGTAGAATTTTGGGTGTCTTGTATACCCTGTTCTTCATAGCTGTTATCTTCTCTATAACTACTTTTTTTATTTTAAAAAAAATTTTAAAGACTGTATTTATTTGAGAGAGAGAGAGAGAACATTAGCAGGGTTAGGTGCAGAGGGAGAGGGAGAAGCAGACTCCCCACTGAGCAGAGAGCCCAACCTGGGACTTGATCTCAGGACCCTGAAATCATGTCCTAAGCTGAAGGCAGAAGCTTAACTGACTGAGCCAGCCAGGCGCCCCTCTGTAACTATTTTTAAAATCCGTTCTTTTCTATTTCATTTTGTAGTTTTTCTCAAGCTCTCTCCTCTGACCCGATTCTTCTTAAACTGGATTTTAATACTGCGCCAGTTTCTCAGCTCTCGCCTGTTCCCATTTGCCCACACTCCCCTCTGGATCTCAGGGAGCCAGAAGCCTGGAGGCCGCATTCTGATTAGGTTTTGCCACTGGAAAGCCCTGGTGGGAACTTAGAAGGTGGGCAGAAGTAAGAAGCCATTTTTTTTCCACTGCTGGCTGGAGAGATTGCTGGGGACCAGGTCCCGTGGCTGTGCTGCTGTCACCAGCCAAGGCAACGGGAGGCTTTTGCTCAGAGACAGCGACGTTGCCTCCACTGGTCAACAGGGAGTGTGGCTCATGGGTGCCAACTCAGGGTCACATCCCCTCTCCTATTTGTTTTCCTAGCCTCTTCAACATTTTGTAACAAACCCTCTTCATTAGTTCCCTCTCTGCTTTAAATAGAGATCTGGAGCCAATGTAGTTTTCCTAATTGAACGCTGACTGCTACAATTACCATCATTATCCCTTTGCTGCTTACATGGCTTTAGCTCCGAAACGGTTTGCTTTCTTGCTTCCGTTTCTTTTCTTAGCGCTGGCAGCTCACTGTTCATCTTCTGTGCCTTATAATTTTTTCTTTAAATCCTTGTAGCTCTTCTCTGAGCTCTTTTTAAGAGATAACCATGAGTCGCGATTCTTGTCTTCTTTCACTTCTCTTGCAACATATGTTGTGTATCCGCCTCATTTTTCTGTTTTTTTTTCCCCCTCCATTTCTTTCAGTCTCTGGTTACAGTTCCCTACAGTACAGCGGCTCCCAAACTTTGGCATGATCAAAATCACCCGGAGGGCTTGTTAAAATACAGATTCACGGGGGCACCTGGGTGGCTCAGAGGGTTAAAGCCTCTGCCTTCAGCTCAGGTCATGATCCTGGGATCGAGTCTCGCATCAGGCTCTCTGCTCAGCAGGGAGCCTGCTTCCTCCTCTCTCTCTGCCTGCCTCTCTGCCTACTTGCGATCTCTGTCAAATAAATAAATAAAATCTTTAAAAAAATACAGATTCACAGGTCCTAAGCCCAGCATTTCTTTCTTTTTTAAAGAGATTTTATTTATTTATTTGACAGGCAGAGATCACAAGTGGTCAGAGAGGCAGGCAGAGAGAGAGGGGGAAGCAGGCTCCCTGCTGAGCAGAGAGCCTGATGCGAGGCTTGATCCCAGGACCCTGGGATCATGACCTGAGCCGAAGGCAGAGGCTTAAGTCACTGAGCCACCCAGGCGCCCCTCTGATCACTCTTTAACAGGGCTTATTTTTTGCTGGGAACAGAGTGTAGAAGGATGAGGAGTCAGCTGGGGCAATCTGCAACTTTCATGTAGATTAGCTGTCTTAAATACCTTCGT